TACACTGAGTGGCCACATTATTATGTGTTCAGATATCATACTAATCTGGCCACTCAGTGTATATTCATAAACATGAAGACATTAATTGCAATTATTGCTTTCTTTTATAGATGTGATAATGATACTGTGGCTTCTTTTAGTTTTTTTTAAAGAGGTTGCTATTTTTTATGGAACATATTAATATATTTCAGTTGAAACAATAGATGGGCTTCGGGGTTAGAGGAAGGAGTGGGCAGGGATATAAATGAATCAACAGTGGCCACACATTGATAAATATCTAAGCCAGGGATGTACCCGCTGAGTTTATTTTTCTCTATTTCTAAATGATGAAAAATTTAACAATAACATTGTTTAAAATGGCTTTTATCATCTTGACATCATAAGTGAAAATATAAAGTCATTATAGGTTTTTCAAGTCTTACTGAGACTCTCAGTAATTTTTGAATGATGAGAACTGAAATTAAGTTACCCATGAAGTCTACCTCTTCTGGGCCATAGATACCCTGGACTATAACTTGATGTAAAAAGATTACAGAAATCCCTATCTGAGCTTTATTGTCCTTAGAAAGGATAATGCATAGTTTTTATTCCATCTTTCTAATTAGTAATTTAAGCATATGTTGAGCATTTAACTCTAAATGTTTGCCTTTTCCCCAAGCTCAAAGACAGCTGTCCAAGATGTGAATGCCAGAAAACATTTAAATATCAACATCTGTTGAATTATGTTAATTTAGAGTAATATAATTGGGCATGAGCTGGAATTGATCAGAAGTATATGAAATAAACAAAAGTAAATTCTTAACAATACCTTGGTATACAAACAGATCACTACAGGTTGACGAAAACATGTTGCTAAAGAGAAAGGACAAGAAAATATTGATCATAGAAAATGGATTCTTTTCAAAACATATTCCTAACTCCCTGGGACATTCTTTTTGTGATTTTTAAGTTTAGTTTTAAATTGTCTCCTAATTGAAAATGAACTAAAAGAAGTGACAATTAAAAGTTTAATATTTGAAATTTTTTTCAATTATGAACTATAACATTAAAATGTTCTAGTTACACTTATGTGTTAAACTTTTTAGTTTGCAGGATGGCTCTTGTTATATATTATGAGCAGTTACACACCTCTGAGTCCAGGAGTGAGGTGATCTGCTCTCCAGATACATAAGGTTCTATCTAAGTCGGAAGTGTCTCCAGTGTGGCGGATATGAACTTCGTAGATTTAGTCCCGGGACCTTCCGGTTCAGACCGTCAGGTAGCAGCTGCTGCTTATTGAGTGGCCGATTTAAACTATTAATTTTTACAGGGATTCCTTTACTAATAGATTAGAAGGCTTGCTGTTTGGGGGAGTATTTGGTATGCACGCATGCCCACTGGACGAACAGGGCCCCAGACGTCCCGTAATGAGGTTATACCCTGGCAGCAGCAGGGCCGCAAGCTGCTGTGCCCGGCTCTGCAGGTGCACCTCCTGGCATCCAGGGGACCCAACCCGGGGCCTGAAAGGTGACCTCTGTGCCCACGCCCGTTTAATCACAGCACCAATTCAGAGCATGCCAACCACGGAACAGACACCTGTCCTAAAGGAGATGGGCTTCAGGCGACACGTCTGTGGCAGCTCGGGTCACGGGAACACCTTTCAGATGCTGACTATGTTCCATATTAGCGACGATGGCCAAATGCAACTGCTGTTCTGGAGGGGCCCAGCTGTGCGCCGTTAGTCATTTGTAAAAGCCGAGTTCATCTGCCAGATCTCACGAAAGAGCGCCTCCCCGGGGGGTGCTCCATTGCTCTTTCATTTACCACACTCCGGACACGTGACATGTTTTCAAATGGCAACCCCCCTCCCCCTTTCCATATGGGCTATTCCTATCACATGGAAGGCAAACCTCGCAGAATTCTAATGGGCTAATAACTAATTTTATTTAGTGTAATCACAATGTAAAATAAGTCTGTAATCATCAGTTTAAAGTTCCGGCAGGGGAGGTTAGGATGTCAGGATGCCAAACGGACAGCAGGCCTGAGAGCTGGAAATGGGAGAATATGCCCTCTTACAACGATAATTTGGTCATATAGAGTCAAACAGATGAATCGAATGCCTTCGAAACCATTTGATGTTGTATATGTGGTATGTGTCCAATTATTCTAGTCTAAGTACCTCTACACCTAGAGGCTATTCAAATTTTTTAAAAAATTAGAACACATGCAATTAAATGTGTTCCAATTAAAAAAATATGGAATGTATACATTCTAATTAGCGGGAGTATGTGACTTTCTATTTGTTCACTCATGCATACATATGGACGAATTAAAATAATTTAAAATATGCTTTTCTATCTGAAGGACTGGGTAAACTTTTGTAGAGCAATGAAATGTAATGCCAATTTTAGATCTGGAAAGAAACAATGATAAAGTATTTATAGATGTGATAAATAAAATTTTAAAATTTTATTTTTAAAATTAGTATTTAGAAGCAGATTCAAGCAATTATTTTGGACATATAAACATAAAATACACAAAATATATAAAGTTGATGCTATATTTTTGCTTTCAAATATGGTGTTGGATCATTAGTTTTAGTACAACAAAGAAGGATCTGTTAAAAATACTAAATTTATTAACACAGGATAGTTAACTTCCTCTTAAATAATAGAAATAATGCAGCAATTACTTTTGTTGATGTACGTCTCTGAAAAGCATTCGTCCATGTCATTAACCAACACTCTAATGAACAGTTATCCTCTCCCAATTTATTAGCAGCTGCTCAAAAATGTAGTAATTAATAGTTTCATTTATTTTTGGCAAAGCTGCAAAATGACAAATAGTTTTGTATCTATTGCAAATTAGGTCTCCTTCCCAAATAACAGATGAGTCTATGGGGAGCACTAAGCAAACTGAATCCGCCAGCATCTCTGGATCTTTGGAAGATCAAATAAAGAACAGCTGTAATTGTATTTGTTACATCTGCAACGGAATACAGCGATGTGTGGCATCATATGGAAATGAGCGAGCTGTGTCAGTGTGAACAGAAATGTTCTGACCAAACTGAGTGTGTGTGTGTGTGTGTGTGTGTGTGTGAGATTGTGACTGTGAGACTGTGTGTGAATGTGTTGAGTGAATGTATATGAGGGTGTGTGAATGTATGTGTAAGAAGGTGTGAATGTGATGGCATTTGTTTTGATTCTCTGATGAAATCTATTGTCATTTTAAAAATTTTAGAAGACTTTTCACTATTAACCAGACATGATGATGGAAAAAAAACACACAAAAAAACAAAAAAAAAAACAAAAAACATATTTATAACAAATTATAGCACACATAACTCCAGGGATTATCAACTCTTTTCACACTAAGTAGATGAAAAATGTAATACTCGTAAGATCAAAGTAAAATGAATGAATACAGGCTTCTAAAAGGCATTTTAAAATGTTTAGTAAAAGTTAATAATAATGGCAATAAAAATATAAACATGTTTTTATTTGATTTCATCTTATGTACCAGGCTATTAAGATGATTTAGCCTCTGGTGCTTCACAATGGTAAATGGCAAAAATCATGTAAGCAAGGAAAAGGGGCAAACCCTCCCCCCAACCCCCAAAAGAAATACACCCCAAAAACAAAACCCAACATAGAAGGAAAGGCCCTAACGTAATCTAAGTAATTCAGCACAATTGCTTTGAACTATCAGTCTTTTTGTAGGGATTCTTAGAACAATACAGGCTAGTGATTAGAGACTAAACATTAAAATGTGTTATGAACATTACACCGCCTAGTATTGGGCATCACTCAGTACATGTGGTGCTGACTTTCAATTGGGAAGGCCACCCTGAGCGTTCTGGTCTAAGCAGAGGTTAGGACCTGAGACACGAGGTGAAATTATTTAATTGTAGTTTCTAATGAGGTGAATGCAGAGCAAAAGAATCTGATATTCCTGGGGATAAATATATCGGTTTTATGTTGACTGTCCCTGATGTCCAACTTCCGTTTGCTGTTGAAGGGTTAGGTCTGTAAAATAGAATAGCAGGTATCTTTTTTTGCTTTGGCGGGTATCTAAGGGGTTCTCAGTGGGGTTAGCTGGTATAACATGGTACTTGAAAGCAATGGTGCCTGCGTGGGGATCTGAACTGAGTGGCTAACACACGAGCAATGGTGGCTGCTGAGGTCTGTTAACTCGTTCTGCTCAAGATTATGACAGCCATTTTTATCGAAATGAAAATTAAGTCTTCAGAATCACCACATGTAAACTTTGAAGCCATAGCACCTAAAGCAATAGATGGGCAAATTCTTTGCATTAAAGAAAAAAAAAGAAAAAAAAAGAACATCGACTCAGTAATAGAAAACGAGCAAGAACCTATGTTCTTTTTAAAAGGACATATTTTCTATATACCCAGTTACATAGTATAAGAATAAATTAAGTACTTCGCTTTCTCAGGGGGCCTAAGTACCATTTACATTTTCAGAAACAAGTTATCTCTCCTTTTGAAAATTAAAAAGGAAATAATTATTCTAAACCCTAAACTAGGGGTGTCAAACTCAATCAGAGAAGGGGCCAAAATCTAAAATCCAGCCTAAATCGCGGGCCGAATGGTTTACTGAACAGTCATAAACTGTCATTGTGATGGAAACGCAGCGGAGTGCAGTGATGACAGCGTGGTGCGGGCCACATTGCAAGGCCTGGCGGGACGGATTTGGCCCGCGGGCCTTGTGTTTGACACATGTGCCCTAAACTAACATTCATTAATTATGGGAGAAAGAAAATTTTCCTTTCTTTTAAAATCTTGTTTTTCACCACCTTTTAAAAATAAATCCAGAATGGCGTCCTTCTCTTCATGGCATTTTAGTAATCCTAAAATACAGTCTTATAAAAAACACATAAAATAGCTTACGTCAGCTCTTTAGAACAGAAGGCAAGCGACCCCCCTCACCGTGGCATGTCACGAGCATGGAGACAAGGACAGGCGTGTCAGAGATCAGAGCGAGCAGTGGTTTCGAACTGCCTACCTGCTGGCCGTCTTCACAGAGCAGTTTTTCTTGTGTCCTCTCTCGGCTCGGTTGTCTCTCAGAAGCTGATGCTGTCCAAAGAGTTAAGACAAAGTTGTAGACACAGAAACATGATCATTATATTATCTGTGAGAGGAAAGTGTTCTCATTCAAAGGGAATCCTTCCTTCCCTCCTGACTTCTCATCAACAGAGCTACTCTGCAGCTGGAGATGCCGCAGAGACTTGCAAAAATGTCCCTCAGACCTGGCGATCTGGGCTTCCCTGAGGACCCAGAGCCAGAGGTGTAGGACCCTGTTCCAACCCCGTGCTTGGGGCGGTCCTGCTGGGAGTCGGGGAACCTCTGCCCACAGCCCCCACCACTGCACAAACTCGGACCTTCCTGATGCTTTGCCATGTGGGCCCACATAAGTGACATATTATCTCTGTATTTATTGGCCTAACAAGGAAATACAGTGAAAACGTTGTGTTTTCAAAGACGTTATTGGCTTTAAAACAGGTAACTAGAAGGAATATGCACATGATTGCCATCTCAGAATGCCTCACCGGCCACTACCCTCTCACACTTCAACTATTTGAAAAGAAGCAAAAGAAGTCAATTCTCTTTACTGTGGCTTCACTCAGCCTGTAGCTGATTTATGCGGGAAATGATTGTACAGCTAAAGGGAAGCTGGACCCCTGTTAGAAACCAACAGCAACACAAAGAGAAATCTTGGGAGGAACAGCACAGGGCTGAGCTGGGTTCTCATGCCTGCTGTGCCTGTCACACACTCGTCTCCGGGTGGCAGTGACAGGCCTGCCATTTATAGGCTGTGTTGACCTAAGGCAGAGGACCTCACCTCTCCAAGTCCCAGTCTCCATCTACAAAATGGAGATAACAGTAATATCTACCTGGAAGGCTGCTCTGTTAAATAACATAAACCACGCGGCACCCATAGCTCTATGACTATAGACAAGCGGAGAAAATGGTTCAAATGCAACAATTACAATTATGATGGTCATTAATGAGCCTGCTTGCCAGTGGGCATTGTCTGACCAGCATCAATGACTTTTCATGAAAACTGCTTTGCACTGTCCCACGGCATCATTCAGAATCTGTTATTAGCCACATTTGGTCCTCTTGGAGAAGGTACAGACCTTAATTAGATCACTAAGAGGATGGTTAGAGCTTTCCTTCTTTTGGGAGTGTCTTCACTAAATAAGTATATATTAAATTTCTCTTAAATATCCACTTCTTTCCAGCCCACAACCACCAACCTGGTCCAGAAACTCTTTCCTCTCACTGGTAACAGCCTGCCATGTGCCTCCTTGCCCCCAACTCATCCATTCTCCCCCCTATAGCCAGGAATTCTAAACTGATGTCTGATTCCAGCTTCTCTCCAGATAAGCCCCGCATTCTTGTACAAGGCATTCACCACCCTTCACGATTCAATTACATTCCTAGACCTGTCATTTATTACACTTCTTCCTCCCCCCAACCCAGTGGTCGGCAAACTCATTAGTCAACAGAGCCAAATATCAACAGTGCAACAATTGAAATTTCTTTGGAGAGCTATAAACAGACCTCTGCGCATGGGCCATGAAATTTCAGTTGCACTGTACGTGTACACCCGCACGTGGTATTATATTTTGTGGAAAAGCCACACTCAAGGGCCAAAGAGCCGCATATGGCTCTCGAGCCACAATTTGCCGACCACTGCCCTAACCTCACCTCCTTACTTCTACAATATATATCCCAGCCAATTTAGTTTGGGGAGCGGATCACATTCTTGCTTCCCATTGGCCCTTTGCTTCCGTTATTGATCTACCTGCATAGCCAGGGTCCAGCCGTGTGTCTGGATTCTTTTTATTGATCAATACAAATTTGTTGAAAGAATAAATAAATGAGATAAAGAAGTAGGGAGGGAGATCCTGAATCTGATATGTAGCTGAAGCCGAATCTCATCCTTTACTACTTAGAGAAAAGAGCAACCATTTATCTTAAGTCCATTAATCTGAAAGTGTTTCCATTTAGAAACACTTCGTACCATAGAAACGAAATTGTTTCTGAAAATAAAAAATAAAAAAGTTAATTACTTTGGCATCTCTAAGTCTAGTGTCTTTTAAAAAATATATGTGTATATATACAAACCAACATTTGTGACACAGATAGCTAGAGATGGCGTGATGAAATCTCTCCCTCCCCCTTAAATTAATGGTAGTGGTTAACTTTCCTAATTTTAAGATAAAAAACAGATATATGAATTCTATACTTGTGATTTGTGCTAAAAAGTTAAAGAACTCAAAATCCCTAACATAATATTATGAGAAAAGAAGAGAATTCTGTAGTTTAGTTTTTAAAAAATGTGACAACAATGACCAAAATAAATATTGTGCTTTGGCTACGGGGTTGGCTAATGCTCAGAGGGACAACCCTAGGGAACTTAAAAAAACAGCACTCCTATGAACTCCAGCATTAGGGCTCTTCCTATTAGATTCATATGGGGATTTCTTTCCTTCCTCACTTGTATGATTTCCATGGGCTTTAATATAAAAAGGGACAAATACGGAAATTATTTAATACAATGCACCTGTATTAGGCATCCATCACAAAACTATCTCACTTTATCACTAAAATTATAAATCTGGGTGTGACTCCGCAAATTTACAATCAAACTCAGGTAAAAAAAAATATAGACTTGGATCTTTGGGTCATGAATATAACTAATTAAGATGGAACTTACATCTTTTAAGGTGAAAAAATTAACCGAGTATTGCCAGAACGTAAAGAAAGCATATATTTGTATATGAAAGAGCCCCAGCAGGCGTATGCCATGCCCCATAGAATGAAAATGGGGGTGTGGGAGGGGGGAGGGGAGATGTCTGTTCAGAACTTCAGGGTCAGAGACAAGAATCCTTGAGCTCTGCTCTGGTGAGCATGCTTAGGCAGTGCATTCGGCCATGAGAAACTTCTCCTTCTTCCTGGTAACTGTCTTGTTTCCTTGAATGCCTATCCGTGTCACAAGTGAGGTCCCCTTTCAGGTTCTGACTCAACAGTGTCAACTCTGATTACGAACAGAATTTCTGAATATGGTGCGAAGTGCTTCTTACCTTCCAACTTTCAGATTGCTGGACTTAGGCCAATGGGAGACACAAGCTCCTTATTAGTGACCTGCAGGTGTATATTGAAAAAGGACTCACATAAGAATTGCATTAAAATTCATAAGCACAGAGCCTAGTACAATGTGAGGTTCACAAAAGGAACACAGTTTTATTTATTTATTTTTAAAGTATTTTTATTAATTTTAGAGAGGAAGGAAGAGGGGAGAGAGCGATAGAAACATCAGTGATAAAGAATCATCCATTGGCTGAGGATGAGCCTGCAACCTGGGCATGTGCCATGTCTGGGAATCGAACCGTGACCTCCTGGTTCATAGGTGAACTCTCAAACCCTGAGCCACACCAGCTGGGCAATCAACACAATTTTAAAAGTTGTTGCATGAAACCAGGAAGAGACATGTTCCTTGTGGATCATGGTTGTTACTCTTATAGACGGGGTGAGGAGTTGCTGTGGTTACTCAGGATATCTTTGCAAGATTCGTGAAAGAGTCAAATCCCTAACAGGAAAGGAAGAAGCCAAGAGCAGAATCCTTACTCCACTGCAAACCTCTATTTACTACCTGATATTCAGAATGCATTCAAGCTGGTGGTGGGAGGGGGGGAGGGTTATATTGGCAGCCATTCATCAGGTAATTCCTCAAATGTCTGCACAATAACTTCAAGCCTCCTCATAGCCAGCATCTCAGTGTCCTCAGCCTTTAGAAGAACTAAGCAACTTCTGAACTATGTTCTCTGCCTCAGTAAGCTGCATGTTCCCCTCCGTGGCCCGTGGAGGGTGTACAGCGCCCTCTATGGTTGTCCCAAGTATCTCTCATCACACTGTGGTTACTGGACAGGAATGTTTCCAATTATCATTGCCAAGCCCAGTCCCTCTACCCCCATCCTTACTTCTTACCAAACCCCAGGGAAAAAGAATCTCTGTGAGTTTGGGGTTTATTATTCCCATGTACTCCTTACATATCATAGTTTTGACCCACTTAAATAATAAATTTATCATCAATAATGAAAAAAAACAAAAAAACAAAAAAACAAACTTGGTCAGGATGCCAAGTCTAAGATATCTATGCTTTATAAAACATAAAAAACAAACAAACCCGTAAGCCCTAAATTACCTTAGCGTGCTGCAAAGAATGAACTTGATGTGTAAAGTTAACTAAAAGGAACGTCAAGTTCTGGCTAAGTCAGCCGATCATTGTACTGCCACGTGGACGACTAAGAAATTACGTAAAACACACATCTAGAAATACCACGTGGAGGAAACTATTGCCACCTCCTAAAGGGCGAAGGCAAAAAATATCTTCTTTGCTGGCTGATCTCATTTAAATATCCTCAGATTGCTTAAACATATGTACTGTTTGATGCCTTAACTTTGAAAAACACACAAAGATGAATCCCAGAGTCTGTTCACAGAGGACACAGGCATGACTGTGGAAGGTGGCAGTCGGAGAACTCAGTGCTCACTGAGGCTCATTCATGTGGTCTGTGTGTTAAGCGAGGACACAATTAATTCCTCCTAAGCTGAGACTTATATATTTTTTTCTCATAAAGCTGATCTACCGCCCTGAAGAGAAACAGTTAAGTATTTGAAGGAGGCTAAGCTGCTTCCTTTGGATTACAGTGGTTCTTACCTGGCCGTGCTCGGTCCTGGCCCCGGGGCTGAACCAGTGGCTGGGGAGGAGAGAGGAGAGAGGTTAGCAGGAACCTGACCCAAGCCCGTGGTCCCCCACCCCCGCGATCAGGCTGCAGGCTGTGAGAAATGTATGCGCCGCCAGCCACGGCGCCTGAAATAGGCTTTATTCTAATGGATAGTTCATGTAATTCTAGACTTAGAGCAATTTGGACAGAAACGTAAGAGTGCTCACAACCCAGTAATTTTCAATTTAATAAGCAAACTCAGTTAGAATTAAATTTCCATTTAATTATGTTAACATAAACTGCTGGGACTGGATTCATTTTATGAATCAATTCTGGGTTGTAAAATCTACAAATGCTGTCATTTACCACAACTTAATTATGGCATCATTACAACAAATGATGACCTCTGGATTGGTGGGAGTCCTCAAAAAACATTAAAAAATAAAAAGAATCTGACATCGCCCGGCTATGCTCCACAGAGCTCTTGATGTGGATTTGGGGGCATCAGCTGAACGTACCTGAACCCATTTGTTCCACGCTCATGACACTGTTGGCCAGGAAATGTTAGCTGTGCGCTGGGCACCAGGTTCATGGTCACACGTGGGTTATCTCATTCCAACCTCACCATAAGCTCGGTCTCCCCCTCCCCCCCGTGGTAGAGGGCCAGTGTGGGTATGTCCAGTGTGGGAACGACCAGTATGGGCATGTACAGGGCCAGTGTGGGCAATAGTTGTTTAAATAATTTTCTTCCCCTCCCCCACTGTGCACAGTGAACGGAGTAATTGGCGAACTTTCATTCGGGGAATTTTCATCCCTAAATGTCATCGGAGATGCCAAAGCCCGTGGGTGATATTTATCAGCCACCCCCACCAGAAGGTGGAGCATCCTGGAAAATAAGTAACAGATGCTGAAGACATGTGTTTCTTTAACTGACTTTTGGTGGAGGACAGTGTTTGACGTAGAACAGTCACATCTTACCTAATAATAGACAAACATGTAAATTGACCGTACCTCTGCTACACCACCAGCCAATCAGGAGTTATATGCAAATTAGACTAACAAAGATGGCTGTTAATTTGCATACACAGGCACTGAGTGACGGGGGCAGGACACATAGCAACAACTGGGCATTCTGCCCCACCCCCGCTCTCTCAGGGCCTCTGGGCAGTGTGGGAAGGCGAGGCCGGAGCAGAAAGGGGTGGCTCCCGGGCCTGAGCAGAAAGGTGGTGCCAGCAGCCAGCGAAAGGAAAGCCCATTCTAGCACAAATCTTCCTGCATCGGGGCTTCTAGTTATGTATAAAGTAGGGATGTGATATTGCTCTGATTGCCTCAGAGAAGCAGTAAGCACATTGAGGAGAGTGGTGCTTTTGAAAAGACTCGAAAGTGAAATGCGCTATCCAAATAAAGCATCATCGTCATCATTATCTTGAAATGTTTATACCTCGTTTAATAACTGTTCTGCATTTTACATAAGTATTCTGTGAAAATGGCTTCTGTGAGAAAGGACTGTTATTACCCTTATTCCGTAACTAAAAATTAAGACATATGCAAACTAAACGACTCACCCAAGGGAATCACAATAAGTCAGAAGAACTGATCCAGTTTATCGATGTATCACAACATAGAGTTCAAGCCACTCTCACTCTCTAGCAGTGTAACAGTATTCCCAATGAACATAACCTATGATCCAGGCAAATCTGGCTTTAAGCAAACTCCATATTTACACAAAAGGTAAAAATAAAGGATAAGTATTTGCTTTATAAAGGAATTCATCATAGGGTCCCCACTGGGAGGGGGTCATGGCCGGCCTGGGTGAGGGGCTGAGGGCGGTTTGAGGGCAGTTTCCAGGAGGCCAAGCCCCCCAGTGAGGATCCTCACCCCCATGGGGCCATGGCCAGCCTGAAAACGGCTCTCAGCCTCTCACCCAGGCTGGCCATGCCCCTCTGCGGAGACCCACCGCCCCACGACACCCATGGGGGTGTGGCCGGCCTGCAAACTGCTACAGCCCCTCACCCAGGCCATCCCTGCCTCCCAAGGGACCCTCACCCTAATCCAGGACCCCTTTCATGGCAGACCAGCCAGCTCCCACCTGTGCACCAGGACTCTATTTTATACTAATAAAGAGGTAATATGCTAATTAGATCCGGAGAACTTCCAGACAAAGCCATAGTGATAGGGCTGAGGCAGAGGTGGTTCGGGGGGATCTTGAAATCGGGCCTAAACAGCTGTCGGATATCCCCTGAGGAGTCCCAGATCGAAGAGGGTGCAGGCTGGGCTGAGGAACACCACCCCTGCACATGGACAAATTTTGTGCACTGGGCCACTAGTCCTATATAATCTTATATAATAAAAGCCTAATATGCTGTGTCTGGTCATCCTTTCAACCAATCAAAGTGTAATATGGTAATGATAGGCTAAGGCTGCTCAACCGCTTGCTATGACATGCACTGACCACCAGGGGGCAGACACCCAGTCAACCAATCGCTATAATGTGCACTGACCACCAGGGGGCAGACGCTCCAACTGATAGGTTAGCTTGATGCTGGAGTCTGGCTGATTGGGACTGGACAAGATGGGTTAATCTCACCCTGGAGCCCTCCTGCGCTGGCCAACCTCCTGCATCCCTCTCCGGCCCCAAACATGCACCGGTGGGGTCCCTCAACTTGGCCTGTGCCCTCTCGCAATCCTGGCCGAGGGACCACCCCCGAGTGCATGAATTTCATGCACCAACTCTCTAGTAGAATCATAAAAATGAAGGAAATAAGCTATTAAAATGAATAGCTATATGAAATTTTATCTATATAAATAACATTTTACAGCACATAAATTATACTTATATTAATCTATATAAAATAAGCTATACTTGCACTATAAGTTTTATATTTATTAAAGAATGGATTTAAAAAATAGAATCCAATGGGTCCTAATATGATTAGCTGCCAGAAAAAAATTCAATAATTAATTCATGTCTTTCCATACTTTATGGCCTTTCTCAAGTTCAACCAACTCCACAGGAGACATATGGGACTGAGCCAAAGTATATAATGTATTTAAGCTCTTCCAACAAAGATGTATTTAGAAATAGAATTAGCACCTAGCAATTTACCCAATAATTCATCCAAGTCAAAGCTCAAGTACTTAATTTTTTGAATTATGTAGTGAATGAGTCTCTTCCTTTTGTTGCTAAATGGAAATACATTACGGTCCCTCGCAGCTGATGCTGGACAGGAGCAGAGACCGGAGAAGTCGGGAGAAAAAGTCACTTAGTCCTCACGTTAGCAATTCAGACCGAATGAAGGAGAAGAGCTTGATTCTACTTCATGTGACAGAATTTAAATGTTTCCAGATAACATGTGAATTTCCAATTCCGCCACAAATAAAAGGAGGACTGTACAAAAAACCTTTATTTAAATTTCTCCAGGGGATGCATTGAAATGGTTGTTGCACCTCTGTCATGGGTATATGATATTAACTCTTTCTTAAGGAAGAACCAAATGAAACCGCCTTCACCAGCAATGGCTACCATTTTTCACAAAGAAAGACACAGAATACCCCAAGGAGATTGCACAGGTCAGCGGGCACTCACTCGTGGTGGTGAGAATCCGGGGAGAAGTGAACCATCCTCTTGTTACTGCCTGGCCCCGCAGTGGTCCCCTGCAAGGAGAGTTCAAACAGGAAACAGTCACAGGGCCGTTTCTAGAAAGACAGAGATGGAGAGAAGTGCACCTGTGGACATCCGCTCTAGATTGGACAATCTGATATTAGGTCTCAACATCTAAACAAAATCTCAGAGCAAAGGGTACTCCCAGACCAATGTCTCTGTCATTCATTCCTAAATATAAAACTTCGTAAAGCTTTCCCACAAAGTTAGGAATTATCTGTGTATTTACACACAACAAAACGTAATGGCGCCTAAAAGAACAATATTTTACTTATAAATCAGATAAAGAATGAAAGGTTCAAGAGCATTTTTATAATGAAACCTACACCCAAGGCTCTCAAAGAGAACATCAGCCACACCATGCAAGAATGAACCCACCATGACAATCAACAGGACAGAAACTTACATCAAAAGGCCTTGGCTATACTCCGTGGTAATAAAAATGCAATATCCCTGTAACTACAGAAGTGCCACTTAGGAGTACAGACTTAAAAAATGGCATGCCTAGGGAGAGAAAGACCCAAATTAACATTTTCAAATATGTACTCCCTTCTTGGATCACTTGGGTAACAAGGATGCCAGCGCACAGTCGGCAGTCCCAAGCAATGCAAATATTGCAAACGTGCTCAGTCCAAGACACTAACAACCCAGAGGTCTGAGCATCACCGGTCAACACGCGGCTCCTCTCCAGGGCTCCATCCCGCACCCGTCTCCAAATGCGGTTTTCACGCTCCTCCAGAGGGTATTCCTGGGATGCAGTAATCCATTCTCCCCACCGTGGCTGCCAGAAAAGCCAGCCGGGCCCATGTCATGCTTTGTTAAGGGTTCATGATCACATTATCTCCTGGTGGACCTGACACTTTTATTCAGTTTACAGTGTGTTCTATGTACAGGCAACTTATTTCCTTTGCCAGGGCTGCTGACAACCTTTTCCACACTGTATTAATCTTGTTTACTGACTTTATCTTGGTACAAATATCAGAAAACTGAACTTTTTATCTCAGAGAAAGAATAAACAGCGTGTTGACAGAAGCAGAAGCTATTTTCGGGGCTAAAATTGCTTGTTTACCTGAAGCTATACGTATGGGAAAAAATATTTAGAGTCCTGCACAGGCTTGAAATACATAATCTGAAATTTAATAAATGGAGAAATTTCACATGCACCCGTGTGATAAACTGCCTGATGGAAACAATGCAACTGAACACAATAAAACAGAATCTATAACTAATTTACCCCCACGATACAAATGTAAGCTTTCAGCCCGATCAGAAATAATCAGAGTATGTATTTCTCAGAAATCAGACTTATATATAAAGCATAAGCTCAATCCAATTGCTGCAAGTAACTCAGATTTATAGTTGCCAAAGTGGATATTTAAATGACTTTGCATGATCTACCTAGTACTACATGGTCCTTTAATAAAAATAAAAAAAATAGAAGCAAATACCCTATACTATTATTTCAAGCCAATTTTTGTTTTACTTTTAAAGATGTGCAAACAGCCAAAACCGGTTTGGCTCAGTGGTAGAGCGTAGGTCTGCGGGCTGAAAGGTCCCAGGTTCGATTCCGGTCAAGGGCATGTACATTGGTTGCAGGCACATCCCCGGTAGGGGGTGTGCAAGAGGCAGCTGGTCAATGTTTCTCTCTCATCGAAGTTTCTAGCTCTCTATCTCTCTCCCTTCCTCTCTGTAAAAAATCAATAAAATATATTTTTTTAAAAATTAAAAAAAATAAAGATGTGCAAATAGGTACAGTTGCAATTTTTTTTTAAGTGAAATTAAGCAACAGTGAAATCTATGCATGATGATCTTCTCAGGGTCAGTGTCACTGGACGGCCTCAGGGGTACAGAGCTCTTACAATGGGAACCTTGTGCCACTCCAGTCACGAGACGCCCTTTCTGAAAATCTGACAAATGACTTTAATAGAGATTTCAGCTTGTGGGAAGTAGTGCTGTGCTGGAGTGCCAGTACATTTTAAGCTTGAAAGCATGTACTTACGGTGATGGCTTATTAGTGGACATTTCACAGTATTAGAAAATGTCAAGAAACATTCTTACAGAACTCTTTCTAAAAATTTACAATTGAGGCTAGGAGAATAATCTTTATAAAAATACAATGCAGCAATTTTTAAACATCAGTTCAAAGTGTTCACTCCTAGTAAACAATCAAGTATGGGCATTATTTTATTTTCCCAAAAGTATGCCCTCTAGTTATTCCAGAAATATCTCGGGAAGAAATCACAATTTATAAAAATCATATCTCTTTAAATAGCCAATACAGTAGTCACATGTAAATATTTCACTACCAGCATTCACATGCTAAAGTTTATCTGTTAAAAAACATAGCTTTCATCCCACAAAATTATGCAGGGAGCAGGTAGTCTGTTGGTGAGAAAGAGTCTCTCCACAATCCAATTCTTGTTATTTGTTAAAACACTGGAGACATAGATAACATAACATTTAGTTCAATTTCCAGCCTTTTTAGATGGTGAAATAAACTGTAATGCTAAAAGACCATCTGGGTCTTAGTTTTTGCTATTGTTATTTATAATCAAGTTATCAGCCTTAGAAAGTGGGAATGAGTAGTGATAGATGAAAATTTAATAATAGTACCATCAAAATTCAAAGTCCGTAAGTACCAATGTGGGAAATTTAGATATATGATATAAAAACTTTTTTTCTCAATTTCATTAGACATCAAAAGCAATTTCTTATTCTTCCTAGCACTAAATTATTAACACCAATTTCAGGATTTTCCTCAAAAGATAAACATTTTCCCTTTACAATTATTGAATCCACTGCATCCCATCCCATTCTTCTACAATTAGGTAGGCGAATATCTGACTTCCCAAATCAGACAACGGAACCACAACGGTCTTCTGGGATTAGTAGAAAGCTTCTCCAATATGGCGGTACTCTGCTCATATTCTTCTTAATTCAATATGGGGATACTCCACTCATATTCTTCTTCAATATGGGTGATTCTCTATTCATATTCTTCTTCAATATGGGGGATACTCCACTCAGATTCTTCTTCAATATGGGGAAACTCCACTCATATTCATCTTCAATATGGGGATACTCCACTCATATTCTCAACAATTAAGATTCCCTCTGTAAAATAATGAAGTGCTATTGTCTCCATATATTTGCCAGAAGCCATCATCCTTTCTTCTCTTCAACTCTGCTCTCGTTTTGTTACACTTCATCCTGCTTTGGTGTCCACACTGATACACACTTGGGCGGCAGCTGCTACCCAGGAGGGAGCTTTCAGTCTTGAGAGGCCTGGGCCTCCCGGCTGGAGGGAGACAGGCCCGAACCCTGCCAGGTTGTCAAGCCCCATAGTCCCGGCTCCTGGGGGGACCATTATTCATTTGACTCCATTCCTTTGAAGAGAGAAACCAGCCTTTAAAGTTTAGCAGGCTCTGCAGTGAAGGCCCCTGGTGCCTTTGACAAGCATGTCAGTCAAACGCAAGTGACATATTAAGGAAAAACAACTCAAAGGAAACAGGCTTAAAAATAAGACTTTCAATCCGGGGCTGGGAGCAAGGGGAGGAGAGGGGAGGCGGAGGAACTGGGAATTGCTTGGCTGTCTACACATAGATCGCCATTAAGGCCTGAGAAGGTAATCGGATAAATATTTTGCAGTAAAAGATGTTAATCAATAACTGTTAAAATGAAGGCGTGAAATAGGTTACCTTTTTAACCCCATACACAAGTAGAAAGATTTCACTAAAGTATTTCAAATGAGGGCCCCTGGGTTTTATAAGTTGGTGGAAAGGTTCTGATATGAGGTAGCTGGGAGAATGAATAAAATATTTCACATGTCATCTATTCTCACATACAACATTGCAGAATGGTCACAATTCACAACAGGCACAGTCTCTGTGGGGATGGAAAAACATTCAAGAAAATAACAGTAGAATTCCCTTTAAAGCAACATACAATAAGGTACAAATTTCCTTTAGAATTACTGGTAAGGTAAATGCAAGGCAAAATCAACAACTCAGGTAGCATACAGGGTTCTCACTTAAGAGATTACAGGGAAACGAAGCAGTTATCTGATGTAGGGGGACAAGGAGACAGAACTCTGTGTGCACTCTCTCTCCTGGCTCAAGCCATCTGAACCAGCTGGCCAAACCCGACTTGCTGCTGTCCACGTGACAGGTTTCCATTCCAGAGCTGTCCAGAGCCAACACTGGGAGTAAAATTAACACTAGCGAGAAATGCACGCAGAGCACTCTGGTCCGATCCTTAATTTCCAATGCAATTCTTCTCTCTTCTCTAGCTCCTTAAGCAGTAACTCTCCTTGTTCAAAAGCCAAACCAGCTCCACTTGGTACAGTTCAGCAGATACTTACGAGTTACCTACTGTGTGAATAAAATTATGTTTTAATTTACTACATAACAAGTAGTATATGGTAATAGGGGTCAACTTACACTGTTCCATTGAACTAATCTTTCTTTTTAAAAAGATGCTTTTCCTTGATTTCAGAGAGAAGAAGGGAGAGGGAGAAAGAGAGAGAAACATCCATAATGAGAGAGAATCATTAATTGGTTGCCTCCTGCACACACACCCCCCTCTCCCCAATGGGGGTCGAGCCCACAACCCTGGCATATGCCCTGACCAGGAATCGAATGGTGACCTCCTGGTTCATAGGTTGATGCTCAACCACTGAGCCACACCAGCCAGGCTTAAACTTTCTGATGTCATGATAAAGTTTTACGTTAAGGAACCCCTCTAATTCCAAGGTATTTTTTTAAGAATAAAATATCAGTAAATAATTCATGTAGAAATTCGTACTTTATTTCATTTGTCTAGATCTCTAATAAAGGAAAATGTGGGTTTAGACAGTCTCCAGGGACAGTCCCCCTAACCAACTTCAAGAGACTGTCCTAGGTGCCTGCAGCCTGATGGTGTGCGTGTGAGATGCAGGGTGTCACTATAGTCCTCACTTACCAGGGGTTCTTAGTGTCAGACAGCGTCCTCCTAG